TGTTTTTAGGTATTCATTGGTAAGATTGTAAATTTATATTGTCATGGCTATAGTTTTTAGCTACTCGTTGGTAAGATTGTTAATTTATATTGTCATGGCTATTGTTTTGAGCTACTCATTGGTAAGATTGTAAATTTATATTGTCACGGCTATTGTTTTTCGATACTCATTGGTAAAATTGTAAATTTATATTGTCACAGCTATTGTTTTTAGCTACTCATTGGTAAGATTTTAAATTTATATTGTAACGGCTATTGTTTTTAGCTACTCATTGGTAAGATTGTAAATTTATATTGTCACGGCTATTGTTTTTAGCTACTCATTGGTAAGACAGTAAATTTATATTGTCACGGCTATTGTTTTTAGGTACTCATTGGTAAGATTTTAAATTAATATTGTCACGGATATTTTTTTCAGCTACTCATTGGTAAGATTGTCAATTTATATTGTCACGGCTATTGTTTTTAGCTAATCATTGGTAAGATTTTAAATTTATATTGTCACGGCTATTGTTTTTAGCTGCTCATTGGTAAGATTGTAAATGTATATTGTCACGGCTATTGTTTTTAGGTACTCATTGGTAAGATTGTAAATTTATATTGTCACGGCTATTGTTTTTAGCTACTCATTGGTAAGATTTTAAATTCATATTGTCACGTCTATTGTTTTTAGCTACTCATTGGTAAGATTGTAAATTTATATTGTCACGGCTATTGTTTTAGCTACTCATTGGTAAGATTGTAAATTTATATTGCCACGGCTATTGTTTTTAGCTACACATTGGTAAGATTTTAAATTCATATTGTCACGTCTATTGTTTTTAGCTACTCATTGGTAAGATTGTAAATTTATATTGTCACCGCTATTGTTTTAGCTACTCATTGGTAAGATTGTAAATTTATATTGTCACGGCTATTGTTTTTAGCTACTCATTGGTAAGATTCTAAATTTATATTGTCCCGGCTATTGGTTTTAGCCAGTCATTGGTAAGATTCTAAATTTATATTGTCCCTATTGTTTTAGCCACTCATTGGTTTTAAATTTATATTGTCACGGCTATTGTTTTTAGCTAATCATTGGTAAGATTTTTAAATTTATATTGTCACGGCTATTGTTTTTAGCTGTCATTGGTAAGATTGTAAATGTATATTGTCACATTGGTTTTGGGTATTGGTAAATTTATATTGTCACGGCTATTGTTTTAGCTACTCATTGGCTACTCATTTGTCCCGTCTATTGTTTTTAGATTTTAAATTTATATTTGTCACGGCTATTGTTTTAGTTTTAGATTGTAAATTTACTCATTGGTAAGATTTTAAATTTATATTGTCACGGCTATTGTTTTTAGCTACTCATTGGTAAGATTGTAAATTTATATTGTCACCGCTATTGTTTTAGCTACTACTCATTGGTAAGATTTTAAATTTATATTGTCACCCGGCTATTGTTTTAGCCACTCATTGTTTTTATATTGTCACGGCTATTTTTTAGCTACATTGGTAAGATTTTAAATTAATATTGTCACGGATATTTTTAGTCATTGATTGGTAAGATTGTAAATTTATATTGTCCACGGCTACTGTTTTAGCTACTTTGGTAAGATTTTAAATTTATATTGTCACGGCTATTGTTTTAGGTCATTGGTAAGATTGTAAATGTATATTGTCACGGCTATTGTTTTTAGCTACTCATTGGTAAGATTTAAATTTATATTGTCACGGCTATTGTTTTTAGCTACTCATTGGTAAGATTTTAAATTCATATTGTCAAGTCTATTGTGTTTTGGTACTCATTGGTATATTGTCTACTCATTGGTAAGATTTTAAATTTATATTGCTCACTATTGTTTTTAGCTACTCATTGGTAAGATTTTAAATTTATATTGTCCCGGTTATTGTTTTTAGCTACTCATTGGTAAGATTTTAAATTTATATTGTCACGGCTATTGTTTTAGCTACCATTGGTAAGATTGTAAATTTATATTGTCACGGCTATTGTTTTTAGCTACTCATTGGTAAGATTTTAAATTTATATTGTCCTGGCTATTGTTTTTAGATTTGGTAAGATTTTAAATTTATATTGTCCCGGCTATTGTTTTATTGCTATATTGTCAAGTCTATTGTTTTTGGTACATTGGTAAGATTTGGTAAAATTTATATTGTCACGGCTATTGTTTTTAGGTAAGATTGTAAATTTATATTGTCTCACTCATTGGTAAGATTTTAAATTTATATTGTCATTGTTTTTAGTCTATTGTTTTTAAAATTTATATTGTCACTCATTGGTAAGATTTTAAATTTATATTGTCACGGCTATTGTTTTTAGCTACTCATTGGTAAGATTTTTTATATTGTCATATTGTTTTTAGCTACTCATTGGTAAGATTGTAAATTTATATTGTCACGGCTATTGTTTTTAGCTACTCATTGGTAAGATTGTAAATTTATATTGTCCCGGTTATTGTTTTTAGCTACTCATTGGTAAGATTTTAAATTTATATTGTCACGGCTATTGTTTTTTGTTTTTAGCTCCTCATTGGTAAGATTGTAAATTTATATTGTCACGGCTATTGTTTTTAGCTACTCATTGGTAAGATTTTAAATTTATATTGTCCCGGCTATTGTTTTTAAATTTATATTGTCACGGCCACACATTGGTAAGATTGTAAATTTATATTGTCACGGCTATTGTTTTATATTGTCACTCATTGGTAAAGATTGTAAATTTATATTGTCACGGCTATTGTTTTTACTCAGCTAAGATCATTGGTAAGATTTGGTAAATTTATATTGTCCCGGTTATTGTTTTATCTATATTGTCACTGGTAAGATTGTAAATTTATATTGTCACGGCTATTGTTTTTAGCTACTCATTGGTAAGATTGTAAATTTATATTGTCACGGCTATTGTTTTTAGCTACTCATTGGTAAGATTTTAAATTTATATTGTCACGGCTATTGTTTTTAGCTACTCATTGGTAAGATTGTAAATTTATATTGTCACGGCTATTGTTTTTAGCTACTCATTGGTAAGATTTTAAATTTATATTGTCCCGGCTATTGTTTTTAGCCACTCATTGGTAAGATTGTAAATTTATATTGTCACGGCTATTGTTTTTAGCTACTCATTGGTAAGATTGTAAATTTATATTGTCACGGCTATTGTTTTTAGCTACTCATTGGTAAGATTGTAAATTTATATTGTCCCGGTTATTGTTTTTAGCTACTCATTGGTAAGATTTTAAATTTATATTGTCCCGGCTATTGTTTTTAGCCACTCATTGGTAAGATTGTAAATTTATATTGTCACGGCTATTGTTTTTAGCTACTCATTGGTAAGATTGTAAATTTATATTGTCACGGCTATTGTTTTTATCAACTCATTGGTAAGATTTTAAATTTATATTGTCACGGCTATTGTTTTTAGCTACTCATTGGTAAGATTTTAAATTTATATTGTCATGGCTATTGATTTTAGCTACTCATTGGTAAGATTTTTAATTTATATTGTTACGGATATTGTTTTTAGCTTCTCATTTGTAAGATTGTAAATTTATATTGTCCCGGCTATTGTTTTTAGCTACTCATTCGTAAGATTGTAAATTTATATTGTCACGGCTATTGTTTTTAACTGCTCATTGGTAAGATTGTAAATTTATCACACCAATAAAGCAGAATCCAACATACAGTCATGTATTAATTTAATGAATGTTTTAAGGAGACGATGTTGGTTTTGCTTCTCTGATCGCAAAACGGTATTCTTCTAAATTCGTTGCAGGAAATATTCCTTCAGTCCTAGTCAAATATTGTCTCTCTCTTTTTTTTAATAATAATAAATAGAAAAAAGAAAAAAAAATGTCTTCATTGTTTTCTACATTTAGAGATTTTTATCTTTTATTTTTATTCCAGAAATAATCTAAAACAAAGCAGTTAAACTTAAAAGCCCTCTCTTATTCTTCAAAAATTCATACCTCAAATAAATAAGAAGCCTAGCCAAATCCGAGAAAATTATTTTCGCAAAAAGGTGGAAATCCTTTACTCACTATTTTTTCTCTTTTTACGTGCCAAAAACTTTGGTTTTTCGTAAACGTCCAATTAAAAAAAAATAATAAAAAACACAAATCTTTGATTAAGAAAATCTTTGGCTGCCTATAATTAAAGAAAAAAATATTACCTACTTTTTACATTTCTTTCACCGTTCAAAATATTTGTTAAAGCAAAGGACCAGCTTACAATTCCTTTTCTAAATATCATTTTCTAGAATTAATCAATTTAACGGGTCTCTCTTTTTTTATTTAATAATATAGACATTCATAATAATAATAAAAATAATAATAATAATAATAATAATAATAATAATAAAATTCTGTTAGAGTATAACCGCTTAAAATCCAAGGGAGATAACATTTGCTTATGAACAGTTTTTTTTTTCATTAATGAATGTCACGCTTCGAAACTAAATATAGGAAGAATATGATATATCAGTCTTTTAAAAGAAGATTAATAAAAAAGAACAGGGTGTGGATAAACGGGTGGCACGATATATTATATGAGGTATTCGATGAAGTAAATGTCCCCTCTTTATTAAGTTTGTCACGAACGGTATGAAGTGTATTTCGTTAATAAGGCCGTATTGGCCGAAACCTAGTGCCAAATTAAATTGTTCCATGAAGGAGTCTGGAAAAATGTGGTCTGACACGAAAATTCGTAAGAAGCAAAGTTCTATTAGCAAATTCATCTCTGTGGAAAATATTGGGACATTGGCATTCAGTAACGCTTGCTGAACATTTATGGAGATTAAGCCATGGATGTAAGCAAAGTTAGGTTGGGAGAAATGCGACTGAGGAGTGGAGAGAGCGATTTGAACGATAAAACATATTCCAGATGAATAAATAAAGATTGCATGAAAAATGCATAAGCAGTTATTATAAAGATATATATATATATATATATATATATATATATATATATATATATATATATATATATCTATTTTCATAGTCTTTTCATATCTATCTATCTATCATCTATCTATCTCTATCTATCTATCTATGTTCATACATCTTGCTTTCTCTCCTCAGCTATCTATCTATCTATCTATCTATCTATCTATCTATCTATCTATCTCTGTTCATACTTCTTGCTTTCTCTCCTCATCTATCTATCTATCTATCTATCTATCTATCTATCTATCTATCTATCTATCTATTATCATAGTCTTTTCATATCTATCTATCTATCTATCTATCTATCTATTATCATAGTCTTTTCATATCTATTTATCTATCTATCTATCTATCTATGTTCATACATCTTCATCATCTTCTATCTATCTATCTATCTATCTATCTATCTATCTATCTATCTATTATCATATCTTTTCATCTATCTATCTATCTATCTATCTATCTATCTATGTTTCATATCTATTTATCATATCTATCTATCTATGTTCATACATCTTTCTCCTCATATCTATCTATCTATCTATCTATCTATCTATCTATCTATCTATATATATATCTATTATCATAGCCTTTTATCATATATCTATATATATATCTATATATCTATCTATTATCATAGCCTTTTCATATCTATCTATCTATCTATCTATCTATCTATCTATCTATGTTTCGAACACTCTTTTTACAAAACTTGTATATAAATTAGTTATTTTTAATGCTACGATATTTACCACCACACCCAAGAGAATGGGAGATATAATTAGGAAGAAAATACATCCAACATCAATGCAGATGCCGATACTTAACAAATAAATATTTTACAGTGTAAAAAAACTCTTATATCTGCGAGACATTTCAGAATCTAAAAAGCAGTATCTATGGAGATAAAATAGATTATCTTTTGGGTAACCATTTAAACTTGCTCGTAATACACAGAAATAAGACTGGACATATCTTTTATTTTACAAATGACGCCCAAATTAAAAAAGAACATAATTCGTTGAAAATACTTTCAGGGATTACTAATAAATATATTACCACCTATTAACACAGGTTATGACATTATATTGCATCACCAACAATTATTGAATCTACATTTAAAGAACCAAATGTATGTTAATCTAAAACAAATCGTATGTACGTAAAGACGTTCCAAAATTGATATGCGAACAACCACTAAACATAATTTGTACATGTCAGACACATACACTCGCACACATTTACGAATATGCATTATCATCATAATCCGATGCAGGCAAACTAAAATGATTACAGATTTAGATACAAATAACAGTATTTACGATTTGTCACTTGGATTTGGAATGAGTTAATGTCTTGTAAGATTCGAACGGACGCGTCGTCTTTCCTCCAAATCAGATCGCCATTAACAATACTAACGTTTGTTTAATAAGTCGAATGCACGTGAAACCTGATTAGCCAATTAAAATGAAACAACAAAAAATAAAAAATACCAGAATTTCATTTTTTTCTTTTTCTGCATATTTCATTCTCTTATGAATCTTTATTAAATGTGAAACGTTCGATTTATAAAAACGAAAACTTGCCCACAGTCCTAAATTCCCTGAAATAAGATCTCAAATGAACAAAAAAAAAGAAAAGAAAATATAGAAAAATTACCTATATGCAAACAATAACCTACATCCATATAATCACCGCCTAGATTATAGATAACTTGGACAGAGAAAAAACTCTTAACGTTAATAGCGATGAAAGGATGGCCCTAGTCATAACCCGAGTTTTAAGCTTCCGCGATCTTGAAACGACTTGAACGTCATATATATATATATATATATATATATATATAATCGACTCTCCCGTCGAGATTCGACGTATGAGGGTCAAGCAGATCAGTTTCCAGGAAACTGACAGCCCGACACCGGCACATGAGATTTGATTGCAGTGGTGAAGGCTTCGTGCCGGACCATCCACACTTTTTGAAGGGACTGGTGCACCGAGTGCCACAAGATTCCCAAACGACCCTCCGCAAGTTTTGAATTCAGAGTTGTCCTTCTCCTAGACTAGTTGCCATCCAAGGCTATAGAACCCAGGCTGCTCTGCTATTTTACCCATAGCTGAATGGAAAGGAAGAGAATTCATACATTTCCCGAGGGTATTAGCACGTCAGTGAACGTAATGGATTCGACTGGAATTCGAACTCGGCTCTGCTATTCCTCAATCCAAGCCGCTATCCATTACTCCACCGTGCCTCCTCAAATGTCCATATAGAAATTTTGCTGCCAAAATACACACACACATACATATATATATATATATATATATATATATATATATATATATATATATATATATATATATATATAATAATAATAATGATGATGATGATGATGATGATAATGAAAATAATGATAATGATGATAATAATAATAATGGAAATAATGATGATGATAATGATAATGATAATGATGATAATAATAATAATGATAATAATAATGATAATAATGAAAATGATAATAATAATAATGATAATAATAATGATGGTGATGATAATGATGATGATAATAATAATGATGATGATGACGATAATAATAATGATGATGATGATGATATTAATGATGATGATAATGACAATATTTTCATATCCAATATTAGCATCCACGGAATATAAATCTAGGCAACTTTTAGATGAAGGAAATTGCAAGAAATTGGTATGAACACCGCCCAGACTCGGTGACAGACAAAGGATCTGTAATAATTTTATGAGACTCTACATTAAACGTAGACCGACCAATGAAAACTAATCGGCCAGACATAATGATTAAAGACCACAAGAACAGAATGTGCTTTCTTATTGACACGCCAGTTACTGCCGATTGGAATGTATCTTTGGCGATCTTCAAAAATTCATAGAAATACAAGAATTTTGAAGTGGAAATCGAGAAAATTTAGCGCATGAAGATAACAATAATTCTGTCACTGCTAGAAACGCTAGGTTTGATTGGAAAAATGTTCTGATAGTCTCATTGAAGAGAACTCTGAAAATCTATGCCTTAAGGAAATACAAAAAAAATATTTCCAAATACATAGCTCAGACGCTATCGGCCATGTGCCATGCGTGATACACGCTTAGGCGATCACTAATCTTTCGATATATGACTGACGAGGCAGATTTTTCCCGCAGTAGGTTGCCATTTTTTTCTGCGGTAGACCAGTAGCCATCCAAGGCTATATAACCCGGTCTGTCCTGCTATTTACTCTTAGATGGGGAGAGAAGAAGATTTGTAACTTTTCCAAGGGTATGAGCACGTAAATGAATGTAATGGATTCGGCTGGAATTCGAACAAAATGTGCGTGCTCTTAGATTTTAGATTCATTTTATTTGTTTCTTAAACTAAGAAAAATTCAGTGGAAAATGTCATGATATCATTTGTGGCCTTATGACTCTACTCAGGATTCAGAATGAGATATGTATACAACATAAATCAAAGGAAATTATAGAAGTCAATAATAATTATTATTTTCACGTACAAGTATGGGGCACTGGAGTGGTCCCCATATAAGATTCCCACTTGCAGATGTCGTAATAATAAAAGAATAGAATGTAACTGACTTATGATATTTACAAATTATATTAATCAACATTACAAATGAGTCCATGGAGACTTAAGGTGTCTGCTACCAAACTTATCTGCTGAGGGTGAGTTGATGTTCTCGCCATCTATGGACTCTGTGATGATAAGGGTGTATACATGACCCGGGCAGCATGTGGTCATTCCGAAGGTTGTATCAAGAGTAATGAGTTGTTTAAAAAGGTAAAAAAGTGCGCCAATCAGCAGCAGTGAACTGATTGGCTAACCTTAAATGACAAGGGCAGATAATCATAGAATATTCCCATATAAGTGCAGGAGAAAATACTATAGGATGATAAGAATGATGATAATATGTCTCATTCTATCTCTCCCTCTCTCTCACTACTTCTCTATCTCTGATATATATATATATATATATATATATATATATATATATATATATATATATATACAACGTATAAACATATAAAATGTCTTAAAACATATATAAATACATGCATACATACATATATATGTGTGTGTGTCTGTGTGTTTTAAGACATTTTTTATGTTTATACGTTCTTTTAATAGATACACATATGTAAGTAAATGTTCTGTTTATAATGAACAGTATTAACAACATTTACCAGCCTGAATGTCCGCAAACATTTCATAGAAAATATACGTCCTCCGACAATAATCGAACCTGTATCCTATACGGAACCGTCATATAGGCTGACGTGCTTTTTATATGACCTAGCAATGGATTCAATATAGTTTTTCCACTTCACGTCACCTGAGAACGTTAGCCTGAGAAGGTGCAACGTGTCACTTTCCTTGAGGTTAGCATCAGCCATAGTGATGGAAGACAGAAAGGGGTTTCTTACATGATTAATGGAAAGAAGTTTAGTTTTGGAGCCGTTACAATTTTCAAGCCATATTTTGCCCCAGTTAATAACAGTTTTGAAATTGTTTTTGATTTTGGCTATCATTTTGACCTTGTTGACCTGATCTGCCTTCCTTATCAAGTCAGGAGTAAATGATTGTATCATCAGCATAGATACCAAGTTGAGAGTTGATGGTTTTCTAACTGGCAATATTTTAAGTATGGTAGCAATAATTTAGGCATGGATGAATGGAGTAATAGATGTGCAAGTTAGATTCAGGAGAGAAGAATTGTCTCGTCCGATACAGTGAGCCGACTTTCTTACCAGCTGCTCTAGCAATGGGTTCAATATAATCTTTCCATTTTATGTCAGCTGAGAACGTTAGCCTGAGGAGGAGCAATGAGTTACTTCCCTGGAGGTTAGCAAATGGAAAGCAGAGTAGGGTTCCCTCAGATGATTAATAGAGAGAAGTTTAATTTTCAATATGTTAAGAACTCCCTCTGTTTCTTAGTTCTGGGTATGACGATAAACTACATCCGTCGGCAAGGTCTCTGATTGAGAGATTGGAGGTTTTAAATTATTGCAGTTATTCCAAGGTCCACCCTGACCCGGGAAAACCCAAAAAACAAAACATTATGAAGCCAAATTGAGTGAAGCCGAACCGCCAGATCAGGACCAATAATATTGCTGATTGTTCTTTGGATCTTATCAAAGTGTTCAAGGTAAATAGCAGGAGCACCATACCATATGTGACAACAATATTCTAAGCATGGGCTTATAGGTATGTATGATAGACTCCGGAGACAAGAATTGTCTCGGCCGACACAGTGAAGGGACTTTCTTAGCAACTGACCTAGCAATGGATTCAATATAGACTTTCCATTTCATGTCAGCTGAGAACGTTACCATGAGAAAGCGTAATGAGTCAATTTCCTGAAGGATAGCATCAGCCTTGCTGATGGAATGCATGGAGGGGTCTCTCAGATGATTAATAGAGAGAAGTTTAATTTTGGAGACATTTAAATTGACAAGCCATCTTTTGTCTCAGTTAACGAGAATCTTGAGGTCGTTTTGTACATCAGCTGACATTTTGACTTGTCGGACAGATCAGCCTTAGTATCGAGGCTGGAGTAAATGGTAGTGTCTTCAGTGTAGATCCCAAGTTGAGATCTGATGTCATCGGGGAAAGTAGTTAATGAAGATTAAAAACAGTGTAGGCCCAAGGGTTGAGCCCTGGGGGACACCCACGTTAGTACAACAGGATGT